CGAAAAAACACCACATTTCAACAATCAACATTGATATTTATTTTTAGGTTTTTTACTTTTCATAAATGTAGTATATAACCAAAAAAAAAAAAAAGTACCTGTACCAATACAACCCATGAAGGGGTACAGTTCTATTTAGGAAAAATATTGTTTCATAGTACACGGCTGTGCAAGGAGGTGATTTGACTGAGATCACGCTCAACCGCCAGATTTTCCTCCTTAATAAATTATTTAATTAAAGGTACCCACTTTATAGAGGCTGGGTGTGCCCCAGGAGGGTCTCATCAACCCAGAAAATCGGCCGATGGAACAGAATAAAAATTTTTCTGAGCCGGGATTCGAACCTGGGGCTTTGAGTATTGGAAGATCAGTGCCCTACCACTGGGCTACCCCACTCGTATGATATTACTTATCATTACCTAATTTTAACTTGTCACTACAATAGTTGTATACATGTCTATGATATTATACAATCAACTAGTTGGCCTGTGCCAATAATGGCAATATCATATAGATGAATAAATGCAATAAATTTTGAGAAGGTATTTTTTTTATTTATTTATTTTTTTTTTTAGATTACATAATATTACTCTGTTTTTTTTTTGGGTGATGTGCTTATTTTATTAGCAATGAGAAAGAAAGAAATCTATAAAATGACGGTTCGATCGTTTGATTCAATGAAGTATCAAGGAAAATTGAAAGAAGAGGAAACCAATTTGAGATATAAAGCATAAAGAATAGGTCTATAAATTATTCTTTAAGTTATAAAAATTAAAACCATAGCCGAATGACAAAGTTTATAAAGAGAAAATGAATGTTGAGGTACCGATGAAATGTTTGGTCGAGTTAAAATTGGCCCTGATAACCAGAATATTATGCCAACCAAATTCAACAGCTACTATTATCGATCAATTCTAACCAATTAACTGACCAGTTACAAATCAATGGCTACCAGGAATTTATTCGTAATTTCCTTGGTATGTTCTATTGCCGATCAAGCCCCTTATTGGCGCATATATTAATATAGTTTACTCGGAAATAATTAACTGTTTATTCCTAAAATAGCATTCTGTATCCGCTCTCCTAAAAGAATTTTATTTATTTCTTATAATATTTATAAATACTTTAGTACCATGATTCCTGGAATGTGATCATGGAATGAGCAATCATGGAATGAGATTACTTCAATTTAGAAAAAAAACAATTGTAAATTTTTATTTTAAACAAAGATTTATGGAGCATCGAAGCTTCTGCAGTGAAAAACGATCTATACATTATAACTTGTACTCAACTTGTTCTTTGAATTTATATAATCAATTTCCAGGTACTCTTTTCTTATTTACAATGAAGTCTTTTAAAGTTAGAAAAATGTCTTAATTCATAATTCTTTGTTAATTATAATAACAATAGTTTTAAATATTATTAACCCTTTGGGTATAAGATTTCACAACAAATTTTGTAAGAGGTCCTCAAATTTCTAATCTTTACGAATTTTTAAATGTTGGGAGGAGGGCCATACTTGCAACCTAATTTCACTCTCTCTCGTAGCGACGTCCCTAGTTCAGATGTGCTAGTTATGTTTGCTGAACTATAATTATTATAGAAACTTGTGATTTTGTAGTAATTTTTTTCCAAAACTTATTGATCTATTTTTGTTTTGAATATCAATGAAAAAAAAATTAGTCATTATAGACAATCAAGGAGTACACCACACCTGATAAGTTAGAACCAGTTTCTAAACTCAGTTTAGTTTTCCCCAATTTAAAGACCGTCCGATGGCACATATGAGTTCACCAACTTGAACTTATAAGCATTAGAATATTTTCAAACCAGACAAACCACCTTTTGAAGAGTGAAACCACCCCTTAGGAGTACAGTGATAGCAGTAAGGATTTGTTTACCGAAGGAATCAGTCCAGTGCAGGAAGAGCTAACCTTATCAGGACCCTTGAGGGGCAATGTGAGATAGCGAGGGGTCCCGACCTTATCGCTTCTCCGCTCATACTCCAGTTCGTCTGGAAACACTGGAAGCTCCTTTTCACTACACATGTATAACTATATATATCGGTTTGATACACTTTCATAACACGATATTATTTTTAAAAATATATAACTAGCTAAATTAACAACGGGAACTATTGATCGTCAATTTAGAAGCATAATAGTCAAAAACAAATTTATTTGAACAAAATAAAGATTGAAATTCCATCGCGGACACTCGCGAGCCGTTTGGCGACAGTAGCTCCATTTCCAGGAAGCTCTCCTTTCGAATTCCGGACAAGGCCTGCAACGCGTCCTTCGGGTTACCCCCTCGCGGAATCCTGTCCAAGTGCTTCTGCGAACTCTGCGTCATCCGCGTTACAATTCGAAAAGTTCAAATCCTTATCTGGGCGAAGTTTCGATAGGAATTTATGTAAGGCCATCAGGTTTTTATCGTTTCTAGTCGAACAGCTGTTATGTCAGGTACCAGCATAAGTAGTTGTGACGTATTAGTGAGCTATAACAGTTAAAATTAACACGAAAAACTTTCAATCCCTAATATTTAAATAATATTGAATTGATGCTTGACTATAGTGAATAATTCTAGAGAAGTTTTTTGGGGTGCTCAATAAAAAAATAAATAAATTATGTTTATAAATATATTTGCCGACAAAGTTCAGGCCTTCATTAGGACTAAGAAAATACCAGATAACAGAATAAATAAATAAATACAAAATATAATATTAATAATAATAAAGTAACAAACATATGAAAAAAATTAATAACAGTAAATAGCTTTTTTCATATGTTCATTACATTATTATTATATTTTTTATTTATGTATCATTCATAAGTTAATAATTTCACAGATATTTTCTTAGCCTAGGTCTTCCTACCCAGGGTCGCCCAACAACCAATGAAACAGATAAATAAACTTTCTGCCATGAGTCGGGGTTCGAACCTTTTGCATTGGAAGCTCAGTGCCCTACCACTGAGCTACCCCAATCCCCGAAATAAGGATAACAAAAAATATTGCACAAGTATTGTGAAACAAAATATATTTGAAACACCTGTTTTCTTTTTTATTTGTTTTTCTATTCAACCAAACTGGACCATAGCAAAGCCTGGCAAGGTACAGCTAGTAGTTAATTAATTAAAAAAATAAAATAATAAGATGTAATACTATTTTCACATAATAATAAAGACATTATTATAAGGATGCTGTACACAGTATCAACAGTTAGGTATTTGTGAAGGAAGCAGCACCGAAGTGGTTTTATCAATCTTGACATATAAATTCCCTCAAGTTAAAGAGCATATATTATCAACAAATATAAATAATTTAAAAGTGAGATAGAGTATAAGTGGAAGTAGGAGTAGCCTAATGCATTGTCAGGACTTCTTCCAAAGCGTGAGAACAAGACCCAGCCCACGTGAAACCTACGCTCGCCTCGGATCCAGCATGTCTGCGCCTGGCCTTTTCTTTCCTCTGAACTTATTCAACTTATGAGTTGATTTTTTTATTAAAAAAAAAAAGGAGACAGAAAATCTATGTGTTACATCTAAAACCTTATAAGCCCATGAAAACAATAAACTATGTTCCTAAAAAAGAACAGTTAAATATTTTGATTTAGTTTTCTAGTTGTATATTGACAACTCCCTAACATTATTAGAAACACAAAACCACAAAACATGATTAGAAAAATGTCTCCATATTTAAATAGATACTCCCAATTTAATTTTAAAAAAATAATAAACTCATTCTATATAAAATAGATTCGCCTATCGATCCGTGGTACAGACTCCTTTTTATCAAATTATTGATATCCGGCTGAAACTTCGTAAATAGCTTCATCTCATCGTAACCTACGAATATTTTATTTAAGAAATTCTCGGAATTGAGGCGTTTCCAATCTGGAGATCGGCAACCTCTGACTATTTAATTAGATACTAAAAACTCGTAAATAGCCTTTTGCTTTCCACCTTCATCGTAAGATAATTTGAAAAAAAAAACTAGAAAAAAGGTGGCCTTCAAAAATAGTGGGCTGTTTGGCGTGACCTACAACTCCAATATATCAAAAGAACGAGATTCAATACAGAGTGGAATTGCAGCTTCCAATAATAAAATATCAAATTTTTTTGACAACACAAAAGTTTTTGTGTTTACACCAGTGGCTGAAAATACTATGGTCCAAACAATAGAAAGCTACACAACAGCAAAGCTGACTAAACTCGTAATCTTAAACTCCGATATAATCTTATTTATTTACTATAAGTTAACGACTCTAAGAGTTATTGATAAATAAGAAGTTGACAGTAAATTCATTAACATCAATTGAATTATAGTCAAGCGTGATGTTAGAAGAATTAATTATCTATTGGTAGTTTTAAGAAGCAAAAGACCGCTTTGAAAACTCTCGAAAGTCCGTACTTTATAGATAGGATGATGTGTTCAAAAGTTTTTCTTTAAAAAAGAATTGATACTATCATCTGGTTCTTGAAACATACATAGATTCTTTTAAGATTGATGAATAATAAATTAATTTTTAAATTATAAATTATTCTTTTAAGATTGATATATTATTTGCTGCAATTTTTATTTTTTAAAGGAACTCCCAAATTCCATAGTAGGTTTCAATGAAATATATACATTTCAATAATTTCTTGTTTTAAATACTTAGATCCAGAATTAGCCAGGGCCCCCCTGAATTTACCGATCTTTTTCCAACGCAATCCTCTCCTACAATAAAACTCAACAGCTTAGTTACTGTATTTTATTTTTCAAAATAAATACCATAAACTTTTAGACTAACTCCTTCTATTGTCTAGTCAAAACAAACCAAACATAAAGATAATAATTTTTAATTTAACCTAAAAAATAAAATTTCATTCCAAATTAACACTTCTGTCGCCCGGAATAAGTGCCCCCTTTGCTATCTGTAATCTATAATATATATGCATATATATATATATTTGATTCTGACAACATATATTGGCTCCGGAGTTCATTGATTCATTTGTTTATCGCAGCAAAGCCCATGTTATCATTTGATTGTCAGAGCGAGCGGCGAGATGAAAGAGCGCGTTAGATTTGTGAACCGAGGCAAAGGTAATTGAGGCGTGGGAGGGGCCTATTGTCCGAGATGACGTCAGGTTTCGAGTCTTCAAGACATACTGTCTATCTGGGTACCGTACATCTTCCATCCTCCAAGGTTTAAAGTGCTTAAAGTCCAGGATGATGATGTCCAGGTAGTTCAAGTATTTCAAACTAGGAAGATAATATTGGGATAGGATGAATCCGAATTTGAACATGAAACTGACTTTGAATAGGCCGAACTGTATCTGGTTGTAAATAAACAACGATATTGAATGAATTGAAAACAACACTTTAGTATAGAATTTTAATAACATTTTAAAAACGCATTCAAATTTATATAAACTAGTGTTCGACCATAGCCATAAAAAATATGAGGTAAACATATAATTAAATAAATAAAGAGTAAATCACGATTCAAAAATCCTCATTTACTAATACAACACAAAATTTCAATTTCAATTAAAAATGGAGCTTAAGCTACTTAAAATTATTTATAAGTAATGTAAAATAGACTCATTCAAAAATATGTAATTTATGTATGTTATTATCACAATAAATTAATGTTATGATTAAGCAAGTAAAAAATAAATTTAAATTAGCAATTTCAATTCACTTTAAATACATTTTTATTCAGAACTTCTCTGTAAACAATGTTCTTTATGATGTTCTGTTATTGTTTAGTGCATAGCCATGCCCATTGCCATTGAAAATATAAATTTCAATATTGGAACAAACCACCATTTATATTCTTATTTACATACTATTTAATATTTTTGTTTATTGATAAAACTAAAGCTCGTCAATATCTATTAAACAAAAAAATAATTAAGAAAATCGGTTGAATAATAGAGGAGTAAAAGGGGCAGAACCGATTTGTGTTTGCTTATTTATATAATGATTTATCAACATAAAATTCGAAGATAAAAATTTTCAAGACAAAATTAAAATTATTAAATATTGTAACATGATTTTTCTTCATAATCAGTATCAGGATCAGTTTCTATTATTTATTTTATTTTTTTACCACTAAGTACATAAAAATTTGTGTTATATCAAACGTTTTTACAGATTAGAAACCTAACAAGATTTTATTAATAAAACATATTAAAAAATCTATGATTATTATTTTAGTTTCTACAAACTTTTTATTCTCAAGATGCTATTAAAAAATCGATAAGTCTATCAGATGTCTATAACTTAAGAAATAAATTAAATATTTAAATTTTATATAAACCATATATAAAAATAAAATAAACCATTTAGAGTCAGCAAATCGTAACTATTTGTCATCCTCTTAATTTAAAAATAATTTTCAACAATATATTTATAAATTATTTAATTACCACATTTAATCAATATACAATTAATGAATTAATGTTAATCAATTTCATAAACCAAATAATATCTGATTAATCTTAAGATATGTATTTCATTATTAAAAAATCGTTATAAAAAGAAATTTCACTATATAACGATATGACTCCACATCTTCAAACATTATAAAAAAACAGTCATAAAAAAAAATTATAAAATTTAAAGATAATATATGGTAGTAGTTGTTTAATCGGTATCATAAAATTCTAGGGTTTTATTATTCTTTCATGATTTACAATTTCTTTAGCTATACTTTTCCATAATTTTTGTTTTCAAAAATAATTTCCTAAAATCGCTCAACCAGTACTACATAAATAAAAATTATATTGGAATAATGAATTAAGCATAACTCATCTCATTGTCTTAATTTTGAGCGTAAAATTAAATTTTTCAGACAAAAATTAATGGCTTAGGACCAAATAAATTTGACAAGAACTTAACCGAGGTTTAAAACCGAAAGTATAGATAAAATTGAAAATTGGCTGGTGATATCATAGAGGAAATTGTAAGTATTAGTCAGAGAGCAGGCCGTGGCACAAACGGTTTAAATTGTAGCCCTGTCCTCCATTTAACCTTTGATGATTGAAGGTGGCCTCTCTCGATGTTTTTATAACGGCCTATAGCTGTACTGATATCAGCTAGACCTTTAATAGCTTATCAGTGTCCAAAAATAGTTAAAAACCAACAAGGAGTTTATTAAACTAACTATATAAAATATATACGACGATTATAAGAGTAATTAACAGGAAAACAGTACATACAGGGTGTTTCATTTCTTAATGGCCAAACTCTGGGTGGCAATTCAAGACTAAATTTACAACCAAAAAAGTTCATCGGATACATGGAAAAGGAGGTAAGACCAATTTTGCGTATTTTTTAAAAGAAGCAATTGCTAAAAAACTATCCAAGATAAAGCACACCATCGTACAGTATTTGAATTTATTAATGTCAATAATAAAAGGTATAAGTCAGGAGGTCTAATACGACCGCTTTATCAGGAATACAAAGATACGTTGCTCGTGGATGGGCTCTGTAACAGCAGTATAGCGTTCGTATCAAACCTCCAGAAAGTCCCTTTTATCATTGACTTAAGTAAAGTTGAACACTAAAAAAAAAAATAATAGACCTATCCTAGTATTTTTATTACATCAAAGTATAGTAAGATATTAGCTGTTTGCAACTCTGTTAATCCCTGATAGTTTGTTACAGAGTAAAACATCCGATGAATCACATTAAGTTCACAGGTTAAGATTCCCTAAAATTTTTCATTACTCATATATTTTTCTCATGTATGTTTATATTTTAGGTGAATTATATTTTACTATAAAAATAAAGGCTGTATTTTTCATCACATTTATTTTTATTTCTCCTCCACAGCCAAAACGTAGCCACGGCTACGATGCTATTTTCAAGCCATATATAAGACCCATACACAATTAGTTCATAAGAAAGCATATAACATAATATAATAGAGATGTTATTCATATTTTAAAAAACAATATTATATAAATTATAATCATAACAGGGCTAAGTCCCTAAGTCAATTTACAACTAGATTAATAAAAACAAGACATGTTAATCTAATTGTAAATTGACATTAATGGTAAAAGACGACTAACAATACTATTATTTTATGTCAAATGTTTTTTTATGTACTGATTGTGTATGGGTCTTATAGATGGCATGAAAAGGGCATCATAGCCGAAACGTAGCCACTGTGGAGGAGACATAAAAATAAATGTGGTGAAAAATACAGTCTTTATATATATATATATATATATATATATATATATTATATATATTATATCAGTAAACTTTCAGTTCGAATAATTTAGTTAGGAAATACTGTAAACAATGAAACTAGGCAACACACAAAAAATTATTCTATTATTATCTCTTTCAGTTATTCCACGAGTTAATCCAGAATGCCAGTAAATCGAGGTTATTCTATGTGTATATGTATATCTTATCATTATTAAGAAAATTACTTTTAAAGCTGAAAAAGTATGAAAGAAGTATCGGCTAAAAATCATTAAATTAATTAATTATTGTTCAAAGCCGCCTGAATGAAATATAAGAGTGAAATAAGTGCCAAAGATAACGCTATAATTTGGCTATAAAACTCTTTTCCCTCCTGATCTATAATTAAACTTCATTAAATTTGCATACTGCAGAATTAAGATGGCTGGTTCCCATGCATTCTATGGTTCATTAAATAACATCAATCAATTTATTTATGCATGATTATGTGAAAAAAAGAAGTATTTATACAATTTTAAACTTTGTTTTTTTTTTAAATAATTTTAAATAAACCATCAAATTCTTCCAGTACCCAATTACCCCAATTTAAAACCCACAATGCTTCAATAAATAAACTCGAATTACTAATTTGCTCATGCATTATTATATTTGACAAATAATAGATATAATTTCGCCATAAACCTGTACCAACAATTTAAAAAAAAAGCTTAGGATAAATAAAAAATAATCTTATTTTCATCTATGAATCTTTTATATATCTAAAATACATTAAAACCATGATCAGATCCAGAAGCGTACCTTTATAGTATACATGGAATAATTTAATAATAAATAAATAAGTAAACATAATTATGAAATAAAATAATTATTTAAACAATGTGGTCTGTGTCTTGAAAATGCTTATCGAATTATTAAGTTAATGTTTCGATACAATATAAAACGTTTGAAAACTCATATTAAAGTCAAGAATACCGGTTCTTCCATCGGATTTTTTTTTTTTTTTTGTAAATGTTTTTCCATTTTAGGTAAAGCTAAAAGCCCTAAAAAGCTCACGCCTGGCGGGGAAGTTCGCAAAAACTGAGGTCAGATCATGTGTGTGACATGTGTAGAACATGAGGGGGGAGTCAAAGGCCTGGGAAAGTAATATATTGTCTGCCTGTCTTCTTCTCTCCTCACAGTTTCCGAAACTAAATCAACCCTTTCGTTTATTTATGTAAAGAATAATTCGGAATAATTTCTGTAAAAGTGATGTTAGAATTACAGAGAGTTTTTGGGAAAAAAATACTCACAACAAAATATTAAAAATTAAAAATACACACAAGACTATATAAAACGTTGGACATGTATAAACATTTGAGGTGTAAATTCTAAAACCAGACAAACACTTTTTGTGAAAATCTTTAGCAGTTGTTTGCTAAATGGATTGGAGTTTAGCCACTACTGATATTATATAACTTTTATTGACTTTTTTTTTTGTTGCTACTACTTACATAGCTCTTAAAAATAAAACAAAAATTAAATTCACATGCATCTTGTGATGAAAACGTCTTTGGTGTTTGCTTGTTTTGGAACATAAATAAAATATTCACGTAATTTCGAAATACTCAACCACACATTGACTGACACACCGCAAAAGCTTGTCAGTACAAAAAACTAAAATTGTTTATAAGCCCAATTAAACCATGTATTTTTTAATTTTGGACTACATTTTCAGTTTATTTTTACTATTATGCTCAAGACAAAATTTTAATGTTTTTAATAACGTTTTTGCTTAGTATATCTGAATATGCATTTGTAATTACACGATTTTGTAGGGGCTGTTGATATATTCATTTTAATTAATGTTTCCATTAAGTTTCATATTAATATGAAGGTAGGTATAAAAAAAAAACAAACAAGTAAATAAAACAATAAAAATGTTTTATAAATATTAGATTTGTATATAATATAGATTAATTAATACAATAACTCATAACGCTAAACCATAAAAAATAACTTACAATATAGAAATAAAAATTTAAAAGCAAAACATTACGAATCATGAACGAAAAAAAAAAAAAAAAAGATAAATAAAAAAAAAATAACTCTTTAAGAATAAGATTCTAAAGTGCTCTCGACCAATCTCCGCTGGCTTTAGTACCAGTGACGCGGTTGGGAGAGTAGCGCAGGGTTCTCCTGGAGTTCCCTCGCCTGATTGTATATAGGTATGCATGTGTTTTTTTTTTTTTTTTTCCTTAGTTTTAATTTTCTTATTTTTTAGGTTATTTTATTTTATTGTCTATTGTATATACTTTTGATTGTTATTTTGTTCTATTTATTGTATTTTTTTGTACATATGGTGTGAATGTCATCCTACCTCACTATAACCAATGTCCAACAGACAGATTGTTATAATACTCTATAAAGAAATTTAAAAAAAAAAAAAAAAAGAATAAGATTAAGATTAATAACAACATAAAATCTTTCAACTTAATGAATTTCTAGTGCAAAAACCTTTTTTTTTTAATTACAAAACAGATTTGGTTGGTTTCAAAATTTTATGACCAAACTTAATTAAAAAAGATCTGGATGCTATTAATTTTTGTCACTAAGAAATAATTAACGGACCAAGAAAAGTATGAAGAACAATCAGCGATATAGTCGAATGTTATTATACATAGTATTATTGTTAAATTGATTTTTTTTATTTTGAAATTCTATCAATCAACAATGGATGGAGCGTTATTACTTTTTCTCTTCAAGAAAGTGTAACAAATCTTCATATTTTTTATGAAGAATTGTCACCGATGAAGTTTAACCTTACTACATAATTATTAATGTTATTGTTAAAAGCTGATAAAAATATTCCATACATTTTATGCTGCAAAAATATAATAAAATAAGGAAGCATCCCTCCTACTACAAGTAATTTCTTGTACAAGCTCGGTGTTGGAAGGGATGCAGATCATGGCAGAAACTATTATTTTAGACTCATTAGGAATCCTCCATCACCACTTACATTGATTTGGCATTCGCTTATTTGATTCTATAAATTGTTCTTTGTATATCTGGTATGCATTTCAATTATCCGACCTGACTTTCTCTCTTATATTTGTTTTATAATATTATTTATTGATTGTATTCTGAGTATTCTGAGTTATTTAGCAACTCAACATTGTTGAGCAGCCGTGCAATGTTTTTTGTATTTCTCTCTTGGGTTATATGAGCTATACAATACGAAATAACACAACACCTTGCGCAAACCCTTCATTTTCCCCATATTTGACAGATAATAATACAGAAAAGAATATTTACAATAAAATGAAATTTAAATATTTGAAATATAAATAAAGGATGCAGTTTGGAAGAGTGACTCAGATACCTAGAGGGAGGGAGGAACGGCCGGGAGGTATAATTATCGGCTGCCTACCGAATTATTACTAGACCGGTTTTCCTCTCCTTCCTTTAACAGCCTCATCAGTCCTTCTCATATCGATTCTACCATCGATGTATCGAGCTCTCCACTGGATCTGCAACATCTGTATCTCGGAATTGGAATAATACAGCCCTCTAAGCTCATCCATTGGAAGGATTATTCAATTCATTAAAGTTGCAGAATGCAATATTATAGAAATAGAAAAATCATCTTAATTATGAGACAAGTCCCTTAAGAATAACAATATTCTTCATACAAATAATCAATAGATCTGGCCAAAAGACATATTACAATAAAGTGTAACTAAAACATAAATAATAACACAGGTCTATAAATAGTTATGGAGACCTATTAACGGAAGCAGATGAGCATTACGGTTATAATACTGCAACATAGCTGTTAAAAACAATAAAATATAAACAACTAAACGATATTAGACAGGAACGTCAAATCGATTTTATAGGCAAACCATTGTATTGATAAAAAAAATGTTTGCCGACGTTGCGACCCACTTTGCAGGTCGTCTTCAGGGCTACAAAAGATACAAAACATGTTGAAAATAAAAAATAAATATAAGTAGATATAAAATAAGAAGAAGTTGTCAGATACAGAAATAAAAGATGATATCAGAGATATAGTGGGTGATAATGTAGTTAAATATTAAGTATTATATATGTAGAAGATACAAACAAATGGAAAATAAGTATAAATAAAAATAAAAATAAAGGAGAATATAGCATGTAAGTAAAAAGTAAACAGATTGCGATAAATGATAAGGAATAAGTGTTTAACAAACTAATAGAGATTAATTAGATAACTGTGGGTTAACAGATAAAGAAAATGAATGTTAACCAATGAATAGATTGAAAATTGAATTGAATATAGTACTTAATATTTAACTACATTGTCACCCACTATATCTCTGATATCATCTTTTATTTCTGTATCTGACAACTTCTTCTTATTTTATATCTACTTATATTTATTTTTTATTTTCAACATGTTTTGTATCTTTTGTAGCCCTGAAGACGACCTGCAAAGTGGGTCGAAACGTCGGCAAAAATTAAAATAATTAATATATTTTAATTTAGTATTTATTTGACCGCACCCCCTCCCCCATTAACTCCTTCTCATACTATAATCTACATACGAAAACATAGATTGAGAGGGGGAAAAAACATATATATACACATAAGTATATGTTATATATATAGAAAGAGAGTATGTCCAAGATCATTAAAAAAAAAAAAAACTATATCTCAACATCTTAAAAAGATAGGATCTTATGAATAGGAATATTAAAAATAAAACAAACTAAACCTACCATATTTATAACAGTAAAGAAAGAAAATTATGTATATATATATACACAAAGAAATTTTAATATAATTCCGACCAAATTAAATCCAAATAACATAATGAAAACAACATGTGACAAACATAAATCTGAAAAAAAATGTAAATGTATAAATGTAAATTTATTAAATTTTAATTCTTATAGTTTAATTTCCAATGAGCACCTGCACGAACAGACAGTATGTTGATATACTGTATGAGTGAAAACTCTACAATAAATGAGCGGGGATCACTCACGGTTCGGTGAATGATAAATAGAAGTGTTCACACATTCTTAAATATAAAAAATTAATTTCTCCGATGAAGGTTTCTGGTTACTGGCTTTATCTCAACTGCGAAGTAAAACTCTGACCACACATCTGCTCTCCGCTCTTTATGGCCGACATTATATCAGGAGCATACAGAAACAGTTTGCTATCTATATTGCACTGGTCCTCTCTGGCGGTCGTTTGAAATATTTGTTTTAGGATATGAGCTTGAATATTAAATGGGATTTTTACAACAGCACGCGGCATTTATCTCCTAATGCTCTCCGGCCATAACAGTCGAACCCGATTTTATTTCAGCGTTTAAACGAACCCCATTGTCGAGCGACGTCGTAAATCACGAGAGAGGATGACAAAATGGCTCGCGGAGAGGCCAGGCGTGGGCAGAATTCATACGACCAGATTAGGAGTCCCAATACACATGTGTGTTCCCGATAAGTCCACTGGAATTAATGTAGAAGTCGAAAACCCGAAAACGAAAGATAACAATATCTAAAATAGAACATTTTCAAAATCTGTGAAATATAGAAAACATGTTACTGTATAACTAAACGACACATATAGATATCATCCAACACTGTTCTTGATTCTTCGAAATGGAATAAACGACAGATGTTGCTAGGATCCATTCTCGTGAGCAGACATTAAGAGTCAGACTCATAGGCGCTCTGCGTTGACATCTGTGCAATCCATTGACCTTTCATTCCGATCTTATCCTTTTGCTAATGGTTTCCTATGGCTATTTCGGGATCAAACAGCTCAAACAAATCAATATGGTACAACTATAAAAATAGCCTTTACAAAGCAAAGGTTTAAATATTTGTTGGGAAAAAGTTAAAATGTTGATAACTGTAATCAAAAGTAAACAATTAATTAAATAACCGAAGTAAGAAACCCATTCAACGCTCCAAATCCTACCCAAAATACTTTAGGGTTAATTTGTAGTCTTTCCATTTGACCTTGTTTTAATGATTGTGATGATCTTCAACTCATTTCTTGTACATTTTGGTTCAACTATACATTTTTTAAGAACTCCACACAATCATTAAATTGATCGTCAAATATAACGAAACTCGTACAGATTTGAATACTGGTTTGGATTACTGATACTGATACTGATACTGATTGAGAACAGTATGTAATAGAAAATTATCTCTAGGGTTTTCACTTTTTTTTCTTTATCTTTAAATAGTGAACCTTGAATGGCCTGTACCAATCTCCTACGGGGATTTCCACCACATCCGCTTCGTCAGCTCCGTTTTGAAACTATTCCTTTACCAATGCCGTCCTGGCACGCGTGAAGCATTGATAATGCCTTATGTAAAGCGAGCGGACCTCGTGAATGGCGTAACCACGGACAGTAGAATTGGACGAAGCAATAGATGTGTAGCCGCTGCGTACGTGAAACCATCGGTGTGAGAAGCAGAAAGAGGAATGCACGACCTTGTGGATTACATTACGGTGTCGTGTGTCGGAAGCCGGCGTCACGGCAGTGAGTTCGGGTCGAAGATCGCAAGGATGTCCTCAACTCAGTGTATCTGGGAACCTAGTGTTGAAGGCAGTCTCGAAGTAATATGGCTGCAGGATGTTGAAGCAATGTGATACAGAAAGGTTTCAAAACAAAGCCTAAACATTGATTGACGCTCATGATAAGAGCATCTGAAACAAAAAAAATGAAGAGCTAGAACGCATACCATAACAGTGTATGAGTTTTCACTGTAAACCACTTATTTACTATTTTGAATTATCTATGAAGGACAACCAAATACCTCTAAAGCCATATTAAAATATCATTCATAATAGAAGCATTATATAAGTACAGTACATAGTAAAAAGCAGAGACGACATAGAAAATCTTTAGCTTTTTATTGGCTGTACATTGAATGAAATCAACATATCAAAATTGTAAATTAAATTTTAGAAAGGCAATATTAAACCTTTAAAATAAATGATTCCCACTCAATCTTAAATCAATCAGTGAATGTTCTCTGGGGATAGGTATCTCTAATTTACATACCTTTGTTCATTTATTTTAATTTTTTGTTAGGGTATAAAGTTGCATTTTTTCGAGGGGGAGAACAGGAGAAGGGAGAGGTTTACAATAATAAAATGGAATAACAAACAGCAACAGGTGGTTCGGAGCTGTGGCAACAAGGACAGACAAGGCCGAAGGAAAAAGACAAGGTTTGCGTGGGATTCTCTGGACAAAAACAAAACATGGGAAAGCCAAAACTATTACAATGACTAGAGACGGGTCGTTAACTGTTAGGAATCCGGGAAGTCCTAGTGGTCTTTCTTGGTCTACAAGGACTTTTGGTGTGATGACCTTTGGGTAGACTCAGTGAGTAAAGCATTAGCTATAAAATAAAATTTAAAAAAAAAAATGTCTGTCTTCCTCTTTGTACCTGGTGAGGCTCAACGACAACTAAAAAGGCAGTGGCCTAGAGATCCCTTGCTGACAATATGAACAAGTACCAAGAACAAAAAAAAAACGGAACAAACGGCAACACATTTGCTTGATGCGTTACAACGCAGTGGCAAATATAATGTATAAATAAATAAAATAAAATAAAAAAATTGTTGTCGTATAATAGGAACAGGTCCGAGGTGCGGGCCCAATTATTGCTGTATATCCAGCACTTCTTAGAAACAAGTGGCAAGATGACAGTAACTGTCACACGGAACTGGATGTTCTCCTTATTAGCGGAGCTGCAGTTACATTCTTAGTTAAGAAATGGGTCAATATCGAGTACTTTTTATGGGAAAACTAGCGGATTTATGGGAACTCGATCTCGACTAGCCCTTCCCACGAGCTTCGGAGCAAATCAATATATTTATAAAGATTGAAATGGAAAATACGAATAATAGTTTGCATTGTAGCTCATCATAAAATTTAAGAACAAGACATTATTGCGTAGGTCCAGTTCATTTTTTTTTTCTGAAAAAAAATCATGATATGGATATGGATAACACTTTCTAGTATATCCTTACAGACTAGACAGGCAGTAATTAGACGCAAGATGCTAATTAGCAACTCGTATGTTATTTTCTTCACTAATGGTGGACTGATTCTCAGGCTTCGCCCTTGTACGACCTTGCGCTTTCCTCTGCCACTCGTATTACCTTGGAGTAACCGATACCTGAGTGAGGTTCATGCTTGGAGGCCTTTCAGAAATGTTGAAACTTAATATAAATAATGAAAGAAAAATGTTATTAGATAGTTTTGGAGTTAAATAAAGCCTTTGATCTCTCAAATCCCAACAACTAACATTTCCCCAATCCAGACATCGGCAATAAATTCTTAAGGCTTATTACAAAAAAAGTAAAATAAACACTTGAGTGGAACAGTTCAAAAATATCGATAACATATTTTTTTTTTAATTTATTTAATGAAATTTATAACTGTATTAATGGAGAAACAAAAATTGTCAGGAATTTCAGTCACAATTTTTTATTATTGAGTTAGCCGATGTTGCGACCC